TCTTTTCTCTAATACCAAATAGTCTTCAATATTATAGCTTTAATTAATGCTTGAAATCAGTAGGGTAAGTCCTTCAACTTTGTTCTCCTTTTTCAAAATTCCTTTGGTTATTCTAGGTTCTTTGTTTTTCCTTGTAAGTTTTAGAATCAGCTTGTCAATTTCAATAAAAAGTTCTGTTGGAATTTTAACTGAGATTGCATCAAATCTATAGAATTGAAAGTAGGAACTCAAACACATATGTGTACACCAATGTCAGTTGCAGCATTATGCACAATAGACAAAAGGTGGAAACAACCCAGGTTGGAAGAAAATTGCCACCTTAACAGTATTAAGTCTTCCAATCCATGAACATGATATACTTTCTTTTTCTTTAGGTCTTTTAAGATTTATCTCAGCAATATTTTATAGTTTCAGTGTAGGTGTCTTTTGTTAGAGTTACTCATAGATGTTTTATGTTTTTGGTGCTACAGGGCTTCCTTTTAAACTCACCTTCATCTGAGCTTTGTTCTGTTGTACATGAGGTTGTCATGAATCAGAGTTGACTCAATGGCAACCGTCTGTCTATCTGTCTGTCCATCCATGCATCCCATCTGAGCTTTGTTCCGTTGTACATCAGGTCGCCGTGAATCAGAGTTGACTCAACGACAGCCGTCTGTCTATATCTGTCTATCCATCCATCCATCCATCCATCTCATCTGAGCTTTGTTCTGTTGTACGTAAGGTCGCCATGAATCAGAGTTGACTCAAAGGCAGCTGTCTGTCTCTATCTGTCTATCCATCCATCCATCTCATCTGAGCTGGCTTGTTGCTCTTCCTAACCTGTTTTGTGTTAATGGGGTGTTGGGTGAACCCCCTTACTCCCCTTGCTGAGTCTTCTCTGCCTTGGGAGATTGGAGCTTCCTCCTTGAGCATCCATGTTTGCCCCAGATTTGAGCCCACAGCTGGCTCAGAGGAGCACCGACATCCACATGGCTCACAGACCCCTTGCCACCCTTTCCTCCTCCACTTGGAGGGGTTCCTGCGCTGGCATGCAGGGCTGGGAGTTGGGGACAGGGTTGCTGGGTGCAGCATCTCAGGTAGCCAGGCATTCTGAGAAAATCTGAAGGAATAAAGAGATGACTGCTGATCCCTTCAGACACTGTGTCTTCAGCAGGTGAGTATCATCCCCCGGGCCCCCAGGTAGGAAGACCTGAGGGGTAGTGGTGAACAATCACGGCTCATTTGTACCATCCCATCCGGGGAGGTACGTGGGCGACTTCTAGAGGGTGGTGTGAACCCTACCAGGGTGGGATTGACCCAGATTTCTGCCTCACAGAGCGTGTGGCCAGTCTCCTCAGGAGCAGAGTGAAGGGAGGAATGAGCAGGGCGGCGTGAAAACAGCATGTGGGGTCACGGGGCAGTGTGGGGACCGCACGTGGAGACACGGGGCAGTGTGGGGACTGCATGTGGGGACACGGGGCAGCGTGGGGAGTGCACGTGGGGACATGGGGCAGTGTTCGGACTGCACATGGGGAGTCTGCATCTGGAGATATGGGGCAGGGGGCCCAGATGGGCAGGGGACAAGGAGCAGCGGGCCCAGATGGGCAGAGGGCACAGCCACTGAAGGAACTTACTTTTTTTTTTCCTTCTTAAAATTCCAAATAACGTTAGTTTTGTTGGTTTTTAATTAATAGACGCATAAATTAGTAAGCAAAAAGTCCGCATCCCTTTGGGTGGGTATCCATGTTGATATGAGAAAGTGACGTAAATTCATAGAGTTCAGACATCACACAGAGATCAGAATGAAAGGGAAAGCCCCGCCGGCTCCCCAGGGCCGCTCAGGGGCGGTTCATCAGGAATCAGGAAGACCTTGTCACAAGTGCTGATGTGCTAAGTGGTGTGCAATGTGGCGCAGTGTCCCAGGAGGCCCCACCCTTGTGATCAGCATCAGACCCCTGTCTCAGATGCTGGCAGCCTGTTCTGTGACTGGGATATGGCTCAGTTCACTAGATACAGATGGAGGGGCTTGTGCTGAGGGCTTCTGACAGCTTACTTGTAAGTGAGAGAGACCTGAGCCCCTGCAGCCAGCAGGACTCCCCCCTGGCCCAGTATGTTTTCTGATATCAGAAGCCAAAACGGAAACCCACTTGGCTGCTTTCATTTTTGGTAAGGAAAAATCATATAATGATATAAAGAAAAGATCAAGTGTGGGTGCCATTGGCTGGGGTGGAGTTCCACACCTGGACCGTTGGTCCCCTGCCCAGGACCCGCTGGACTGCCCCTCTCCAGAACAGTCACCTGGCTCTCTGTTTTCACTTAAGGAAGGACAGACAGACAGACAGCTGTCAGCAACCTACCTTGGGGAGGTGTGCTCATGTGGTGAGTGTTGGGTGTTGCCTGAAACCCACTCCTGGTGACTCTGTTTCCCCTCCAGTAATGGGGTGAGTTGGTGTCTGTGCAGTGGGGCTAGAGGGTTAGATGTCAGAGGGATTTTTGCTGTAAGGCGGGCTGGGGACTCAGGTCCATGTCTGCCCTCTTCTGGGAAGGTGGCTGAGGGTCACCCCGGGCAGGGTCTATTGGTGAGGGAGAGCTGGGCTGCAGCTCAGCACGGCCATCTGTGGGCCTCAGGGAGGCCAGACTCAAGAGCTCCTCCTGGTATGGGGTCATCAAGGTCCTGGGTCACCCCCACCTCGGCCCCTGGCTCTACAGTGTAGACAGGAAACTGAGGGCCAGAGGGGCCAAGCCTCAAACCTCAACCAGGCATGGTGTCTGAGAGTGCACAGGTGTGGGGGTTCCTCACCTGGCTGAAGGGGTGTCTGAGAGCACACAGGTGTGGGGGTTCCTCACCTGGCTGAATGGGGTGTCTGAGAGCGCACAAGTGTGGGGGTTCTTCACCTGGCTGGATGGGGTGTCTGGGAGCGTGCAAGTGTGGGGGTTCCTCACCTGGCTGAAGGGGTGTCTGAGAGCACACAGGGGTGGGGTTTCTCACCTGGTTGGATGGGTGTCTGTGAGTGCACAGGTGTGGGGTTTCCTCACCTGGCTGGATGGGGTGTCTGAGAGCACACAGGTGTGGAGGTTCCACACGGGTGGATCATCCAGTAGGCACGAACAATTTCACATTTTTTCACATCAGAAATTCTGCTTCTAGGCATGGCTGGCATCTGTCTCTCTCCCAGCCCCACAGCTCCTTCCTATAGAATCAAAGCCTGTTTTGAAATGTACAGTCCTGACAGGGGTAGCAAGGTAAGCCTGTGCTTACCTGGCTTACCAGGTAATCCGCCCCTGGTTCCACACCTGGACTGGGGCCCGAGGTCATGAGTATTGATGCTGTGAGGAATTCTTCGTTCTCCTCGAATGGGTTTGGTTTTGTTTAGACATTGAAAAGCGCCTGAAGGAGGCTGAAGATGAAGCAGTGTCTTGTACTCTTCAGCCCAGACAGCCCTGGGCCACGCTCTGCTCCTCCATAGACAAGAGTTGTGCCCTGAGTCACACGGCTAGGGGGGCCAACACCCCGAATCACACAGCCAGGGTGGGGCCCCTGAGTCGCACGGCGGGGAGGGCTGGGTGAAAGCCACACCTTTGCACTGAGCTCATATTCTCACCCTACTTCATTCTCTGTTTTTCTGCGTTACCCCCCAAGTAATGAGTTGCAGTTTCTTGGTGTGCATTTTCAGTTTCCTGGAATGCCCATCCTTAGGGCTGGTGAGATTTAGTCCCCATCAGCAACACTCCACATGCAGCGGAGAGCTCAGAGGACAGGTTCCCGCTGTGGGGTCCATCCTGCCGTGAGGTCTGCCTCGCCGTGGGGTCTATCCCACCGTGGGGTCTGCCTCGCCGTGAGGTCCATCCCACCATGGGGTCTGCCTCGCCGTGGGGTCCATCCCACCGTGGGGTCCATCCCACCGTGGGGTCTGCCTCGCCATGAGGTCCATCCCACCGTGGGGTCTGCCTTGCCATGAGGTCCATCCCACCATGGGGTCCATCCCACCATGGGGTCTGCCTCGCCGTGGGGTCCATCCCACCATGGTGTCTGCCTTGCCATGAGGTCCATCTCACCATGGGGTCCATCCCACCATGGGGTCCATCCCACCATGGGGTCTGCCTTGCCGTGGGGTCCATCCCGCCGGGGGGTCTGCCTCACCATGGGGTCCATCCCACCGTGGGGTCTGCCTCGCCGTGGGGTCCATCCCACCATGGGGTCCATCCCACCATGGGATCTGCCTCGCCGTGGGGTCCATCCTACCATGGGGTCTGCCATGCCGTGGGGTCCATCCCACCATGGGGTCCATCCTACCATGGGGTCTGCCTCACCGTGGGGTCCATCCCACCGTGGGGTCTGCCTCGCCGTGGGGTCCATCCCACCGTGGGGTCTGCCTCGCCGTGGGGTCCATCCCACCATGGTGTCTGCCTTGCCATGAGGTCCATCTCACCATGGGGTCCATCCCACCATGGGGTCCATCCCACCATGGGGTCTGCCTTGCCGTGGGGTCCATCCCGCCGGGGGGTCTGCCTCACCATGGGGTCCATCCCACCGTGGGGTCTGCCTCGCCGTGGGGTCCATCCCACCGTGGGGTCTGCCATGCCGTGGGGTCCATCCTACCATGGGGTCTGCCATGCCGTGGGGTCCATCCCACCATGGGGTCCGTCCTACCATGGGGTCTGCCTCGCCATGGGGTCCATCCTGCCGTGGGGTCTGTCTCGCCATGGGGTCCATCCCGCCGTGGGGTCTGCCTCACCATGGGGTCCATCTTGCTGCAGGGTCTGCCTCGCCATGGGGTCTGTCCTGCTGCAGGATCTGCCTTGCCGTGGGATCTGTCCCACTGTGGGGTCCATGGTGTCCATGCGGTCTGTCCCGCTGTGGGGTCCATCCCGCTATGGGGTCTACCTTGCCATGGGGTCCATCCCTCCGTGGACTCCATGGCACCCGTGGGGTCTATCCCACCGTAGGTTCTGTCCCACCGTGGGGTCTGAAGAGCCTAATAGGGAAGCTGTGGTCTGATGGCAGCTCCATTTCTTCACAGGAGGCCTGCTCTGGAGTCTGAGAAGTCCAACCCTTCCAAGAGGCACCGGGATCGCCTCAATGCCGAGCTGGACCATCTGGCCAGCCTCCTGCCGTTTCCAGCTGACATCATCTCCAAACTGGACAAGCTTTCTGTCCTGCGTCTGAGTGTTAGTTACCTAAGGGTGAAGAGCTTCTTCCAAGGTAGGACTTACACCTGGGTCTCATCTGTGTCCACCTGGCCTCACCTGAGTCTGGCTATGATCAGGTGCAACCCTCCCTTCTGCCTGACCTCGACCACCTGATGGCCAGCCCTCCCTGGCTGGAAACTGACCAAGCTGTGGGTTTTCTCTCATGTCAGGCCTGGGAATGGCCCACCAGGAGCCTCTCCCCAGAACACAAGACCTGCCTTGTGTGCAAGTGGGGTGCACAGGGCTTTGGTCACATGCTCATGTCTGGAGCCCCTCTTTGGGTAAGGGGCCTTACACCTGTTTTGCCGGGGTAGTCAGGTGTGTGCACCTCCTGTCCTGGAGCAAGGGGGAGCCGAGCTGCATGGGGGAGCAAGTGTCCAGCTGCTGACCACTGGGTGACCCTCTGTGCCACGGCTCTACCTGCCCAGGGACCCCTCTGTGCAGTAGCTGTGGGTGCTTCTGGCTCTGCTGCCCCAGGCCAAGCCCCGTGAGAAAGGATTTGATTGTTACCATCCTGCTTCACATCCCACAATTACCCCTATTCACCCCTGCATTAAGTCTGAACTTCTCACAAAACCATGGGCTTAAATCCTTCGGGGCCAGGAAGGTAAGACAGATGCCTGAAGTGGGAGGGTGTGGCAATAGGGAGTGGTGGGGACTGGGGCAAATGAGGAGGTCGGCTCCACCTGCAGTGTTCAGAGCTGGTGTCTACGCATTCCTTAGCTGCTGCACAGAGCGTTGGTGGCTGTGGATGGATGCAGGTGGTGCTGCCCCGGCCACGTACACCTGGTCTGACCCACACCCCGCACCAGGCAGTTTTCTGAGTGGGGAGGAAGCAGGAGCTAGTCCTTGGGGAGCTGTGTGGGGCCCCAGCACCTTTCCACCCAGTATGGTGTGGGGCCTCTGTCTGCTCCCACGCCCGGCTCATAAGGGGCCCGGTAATTGTAGAACAGGGAATGGGACCCCCTGGCAGCCTGGCGGCCTCAGCCTCGTGGGCCTTGGTTTCCCCATCTGTCCAGAAGCCATGGTGGGCATTGTGTGCATGGTGTCAGAGGACGTAGGCTCCCGGCTTGCGGAGGCCTGTGTAGGGAGAGGGCTGGCGCTGGGAGCGGGGTGATGGGATGGGGTGCAGGACAACCAAGTGGTTCAGGGGTGGGTACTGGCCCCAGAAAATGCTGCTGGTCAGCTGTTGGGAACTGGGGCCCTCTGGTGGGTCCTGGGAGGTACGAGGGGACAGGCATGGCCCTTGGAAGCTCAGAGGGGCAGACGAGGGACAGAGCCAGCTGAGGTGCAGGTGGCCCTGACCTCCCCACTGTCTCTGTGTCCCCCTCCCCACCACCAGTGAGGGGGCAGGGCAGGGTCAGGGCTGGAGGGTGGTGGGGGCATGAGGCGGGGGTACCTGCTGGCGTGTGGGGGCCGCGGCGGCACAAACCGCGTATTTCAAGGTATTTGAAACGAGAGGAAAGAAATACTCTTGATGTGGTATGTCCCGGCTCTGGGCTGCGGGAGGGCTCTGGATTTGGAGGCAGCCACCGGGTCAGGTCTCCCCGGCCCTCTGGGCTTGTGCGAGCTCCACGCTCAGCGGCCCTGAGGCGGGCGGGGTCCACGGGGTTGGGCTGGGCCGGCCAGGGTGGGCGGGTCCTCTGGCGTGGGATGGCTCGGCCTGGGTGGGTCGTCCTCCAGCGTGGGCGGGGTCGGTCCCATGTGTCCTCAGTGCCCCAGAGACTGCCGGGTGGCCAGCTGTTTCCCAACCCCAGGACTGACCGCCTGAGCCCTACCGCCCCTCTCAGGGTGTGTCCACCAGGGAGGCGCCCCCTGCTCGGCCCTGGGGGCTCCAGCAGAGCCCAGTCATCATGGACCTGCTCTGTAGAGTCGGGGAGCGGGGTCTTGCAGGTAGATTTCAGGGGCCGAGAAGGCCCCTGCCTGCCACCAGGGGGCCCGGTCACTGGTGGTCCCTGCAAACAAATTCCTCCTGCAGCAGCCTCGTTGTCAACAAAAGACAAAGAATGGGCGAGGTGACAGGTGAGAACAGGCATCTGGGAGCCGGTTTGATGCTCCTCCTTGAGAGGCACCCATCCGTATGTCTGTCCTCTGGGTCTGTGTCTGCTCTGCCTGCCCAGGTGGCTGTGAGTCCCTCTTCCTGGTGAGGCATGGGCACCCAGACCAGCACCTGTGCCCCTCACCACCTCCCCAGAGGGGCTTCCACTTTCAGGACACGCTCCATTTGTTCCCAGCCTACTTGGGGTTGGCAGACCCTGTGGCTACCTTGTCCACCTGGGCTCACACCCCTCAGTGCCCGCTCCCTCTCAGCCATGGTGGTGGCCCTGACCCCCAGGCCCCAAGGCAGCTGCAACCAGCCTCAATCCGCAAGTCCTCAGCCTTGGTTGCACCACCCAGGGGTCCATTTAGGGGTGTGGATGGGGGGCTGGGGGCTGCTGGGCTTGTGGAGAGACCTGATCAGTGCCAAGAAGGACCTCATGGCAGGTGGAACATGGGAGGGGCATTGAGGAGCAGCTGCCCAGTGACAGGGACGGGCAGTGCAGTGAGGAGCTGTGGAGGCAAGAGGGACACAGGGTCCCAGTCACGGTGCCCAGGAAGCGGGTCTGAATTTCAGGTCACCTTTGTGTGGACAAGTGAGGTGATCCAGGGAAGGAGCCCAGGACAAACGTGAGGAACCAGAAAGTCTAGGAGTAGGCCGAGAAGAGTTGGCGTGGGAGGGGGAAACGGGGACTGCACAAGAAGGAGACGAGGAAGTGGTGCCATGGAGCTGGAGAACCACAAGGGCAGGGCACCAGCAGAGCGGGAGCCAGGCCAGCCGAGGGGGGACCATGGCTGGGCTGTCAGACGGTGGGCCACAGTGACTGGGGCTGGCCCTGGACACCTTGGTGGTGCAGAGACCTGGCCTGGATCAGTTGGGTATGAATGGGACACAGCCTCCTCTTGCTCTGGTAATTGGCGCTGCACAGAGTTCTTAGTGGCGTGCAGATGGGGCCTGTACCCCCACTCTCACCCCCCACCCCACTCACAGAGCAGTTGTCTGAGGCCACAGTTTGCTCCCACCCTTCTCCCCCTTCCCTCCAGGCAGTGTTAGTATTCCCTCCCTGGCCAATGCAGCCTCCAAGGTAGCTTTGAGGAGAGATGGGCTCAGCCCACCCCATTCCTCGAGAACAATGCCTGGTATCCAGAAGGTGCCAGGACACTTCCTGGTATCTAGAAGGTGCTATAACAGTGCCTGATATGTAGAAGGTGTTGGAACAGTGCCTGGTATCTAGAAGATGCTAGAACAGTGCCTGGCATCTAGATGGTGCTAGAACAGTGCCTGATATGTAGAAGGTGCTGGAATAGTACCTGATATGCAGACGGTGCTGGAACAGTGCCCGGTATGTAGAAGATGGTGGAACAATGCCTGATATGTAGAAGGTGCTAGAACAGTATCTGATATGTAGAAGGCACTAGAACAGTGCCTGGTATGTAGAAGGCGCCGGAACAGTGCCTGGTATGTAGAAGGTGTCGGAACAGTGCCTGGTATGTAGAAGGTGCGGGAACAGTGCCTGGTATGTAGAAGGTGCCGGAACAGTGCCTGGTATGTAGAAGGTGCTGGAACAGTGCCTGTAGAAGGTGCTGGAACAGTGCCTGGTATGTAGAAGGTGCTGGAACAGTGCCTGTAGAAGGTGCCGGAACAGTGCCTGGTATGTAGAAGGTGCCGGAACAGTGCCTGGTATGTAGA